ATACCTCCTGACGTCCCCCATCTTAATCTAGACCGACTGTGTACCCTATCTGTGCCATACAGCAACACTCCTTAACACAATCAACAGGAAAGTAATGGGCGGGACCACAGGCCGGTGCAGGAGGCCTCACCGAACCCATGCAATACTTACATTGAATGATCTAGGTAAGGGTCAATAATACAATGGTAATCTCGGATTTGAGACGGATCCAGATTTCGGAACGAAACCAGGAAGAGTCAGACATCCCTATAGGCATGATGGGAAATGACTCTATAATACCTTGTTCAGTACCCTTTTCTCCCTCCCGAAATACGCCGGAGCAGAGGAGAAGAAATATTTGAGACCATCCCACCCGCCCCACAAATACTATTTCTATTCATGAAGTTGCTGATCATTCAAACGCTTCGGGTCTGGGCATATTGCGATCTGTATGCCAGCCCGAAGAGTTACTTCACGGCGAGGCCCTCCTGTCGGTGCAGGAGGCCTCACCCAACCCAATTCAATACTTGCATTGAATGATCTAGGTAAGGGACTAGAATACAACAGGTTTGTCGTCGTGACGTGATACATCCTTGTTATTAGTATCAGCATGCCGACTTCCTCACGAAGGCGCTACCGGAGAGAGAGTTTGTTTCACACCGGGACTACGTGATGAATTTGAAGTGAACAGTTCGGGAGATCTTTTTCTTGTTGAGTTTTGTGTCTATTGTTTTTTCCGATTTCTGATTGTTGTGTTGAGTTGTTTGATTTTCTGAGAAATCGAGTTCAAGATTGACCGGTGGAAATTGTCGCAAGCGTTTCTGGTTTAATGGTTGGCAATGATGCAAACTGATAGGAATTCTAACGAATGTTGCTGGTTTGAGGGTCTTTAGTGTTGTGACAAGAATGAATAATGCAGTTTGAGATGAAGGGAATGTCTTGCACTAAATTTTGTTTCGGTCAGGTATTTGGTATGGCAGGATAATACGGATAGTGTATTAAAGTCCGGGTGTGATCTTGCCAATGCTGCGAGTGGGGGGGCTGTTGGACGTACTCACAGCATCGACAGATTAGTGCAAGCAAGACATTTTCGAGCAGATGGAGCGGGGAGTTTGGGGGTTCAGCAGTTGCTATGGATTAGATTTGGTGGTACCAACTTTGCCGTATATTATTACAGGATCGAGGGTGGGGGTATGTGTGTGTCTACTATTCGATATATTCGGGATACTCGTAGCATAGTATGTATGTTGGGATATCTTCGGTACGCACGTACGGAAATTGCAGTGATGACATGCGGAGGAATGAGAACTTTCTGGGTATTTTCCTTGGAAGTGAGAAGAGTTTGATGGAGGTTCAGAGAGATCCTTTCGGTGGTTTGAGCGTGACAAGCGTGACGCGTGCTTGATGCCGTGACAGATTTACGTGCGCGAGCACGCCCCCGAAGAATACAATACGTTTTCCCAACACGTCCCTACTCATCCACGTCCCGTCATGGGCTACCCGCTCTACGCTCCCAACACAATGAACCTTTGTGAGCACCAGCCATCATATGTTCGACTTGAGGCCAGTACCGACAAGAAAAGAGTACATTCAGATTGGGAACGGTGCCTATTTGGGAGTGCAGTGTGTGGGGAAGGTCAACATGGCCTTTCACATGCAAGACAAGTCAGGAAAGCGTGATTTTTGCGTGCAGATGTCGGACGTGTACGTTGTGCCTGGTATCACGTTCAATCTTTATTCGTTGCACCACACGCAGCGTAGGCAGCGTATCGTTTTAGACGTGACCGGCTTCCACCTATTTGATGGTGGGCTTTCCTTTGCATACTCTGACGTAGGATGCTCGCTCTGGGCTACTCGATTGCCCCAGGATTACAGTGGTCGTGCTGTGACCTTTAGCCCCGATGTCCCTCCCCGTGTGTCTGCCTAAGCGTCCCCGCCTAGCATTGGCACAGGACTTTTTGCGGCCACCCCCTCCCTTTTCCAGAGTGCAGGAACGGGCACGAGTGCGAGTGCGACTTCTGGCTTCCAGTCCGTCGAATCGGACGGCGTTGTACCTTCGACTTCTGGCTTCCAGTCCGTCGCACCGGCCGGCGTTGTACCTTCGACTGCAGACGTCCAGCGCACCGGATCCGACGGTGTAGTACCTTCGTGTTCGAGCGTCCCCTCTACCACTTCCGGTGTAGTGATTCCGATTTGTGCTTTTCCGTCAGTCGACGTAGACCCAACCCCCACGACGATCCCCGATTTTCAGCCTGTGATTACGGCTGCCATAGAATCGTCTTCGGTTGTGTCTCCCCCTGCCGTAGAGCTGACAGACTTTCGCGAGATCGAGATCAACCCCCTTTTCTCCCAGGATGAATCACCAATCATCGACATGAGCATGTTTCTGGATGTTGGGTTGATGGATGGTAAAAACACGGTCCCCCGAGGTGGTTTTTTTCCTGATGCGCTTGAATTAGCTGAGCCTGCGGAGCCCTCTCCCCTTGCATTCACTGTGCAGCATCATGATTTGGAGGTGTTGAGAGGTTTTCTTTCCGAGTGCAATGAGCAGCAGGCCGCAGCCCCTCCGTCTCCTTCCCACGCGTTGGCGATTATCGCCCCCTGTGCTTCCCCATTTTCGGTAGGAAAATCCACGCCCAACATCGACATTAACCTGTTTCACGCTTCCACCGGCCACGTGAATGAATTTTTGATACGTGAGACTGCCAAGCAGCAGGGCGTTCGGTTGGTCGGGGAGCTGCAGCCATGTGTGGGCTGTATGGCGGCGAAAGGGAGGAGGGCACCGGTGCCGCGGCGTGGGACACGCGCGGCGGTGCCGTTCGGCCAGGTCCACATCGACCTCACGGGTCCGTTCACCGAGGCGATGGACGACCCCGGTACCTCATTATGTTCGTCGACAGCCCCTCGCGGTTGCAACGGGCGTACGGGATGCGGGCGAAGAGCGACACCCTGAGATACGTGAAGCGCTTCTTGGCCGACATGAACGGCATGGGTACTCCGAGATGTTTTCGCATGGACAACGGCGGCGAGTTCACCGGCGCCGCTTTCATCGAGTTCTGCGACGCCGCTGGCATCCGGCGCGAGTACACTGCGCCCGACACCCCCAAACAGAACGCCGTCGCCGAGAGCTCCATCTGGCGTGCGATGAAGGGGGGCCACGCCGTGCGACGCCACATCCTCTCCATGCCCCACGTCGACCTCGCCTCCGTCCCCAACATCGGCGCCAACGGACAACGCCTGTGGCTCTCGTCGGCGCTCTGGGCATCCGGTTGTTTCAACCGCTCCGTGACGAAGGCCAACCAGGGCTGGGCGTCGCCGTTCGAGGCCTTCTTCGGGAGGAAGCCGCCGCTCAACGTCGTCCCTGTTTTCCTGGAGGGGATGATGCGGGTCAAGCGCGCCAGCAAAGCGGACGTCCAATCCGTGCGTTGCTTTTACCTGCACGGCGCCAACAACCACTTAACGGCTACCGCCGTCGTTCTCCGCGCTAGCACCGGCCGCCTCGCCCTCACCAACTTCGTGTGGGTCAACCGCCGGGCAGGCGCGCCTGGCGCCGGTGCGGGGCATCGGGGGGGGTTCTTCGGTCACCGCGCCGCTCTCGCCGGCCGCCGCCGTACCTGCGGCCGCTGTCGCACCGCCGCCGCCCCCGCCAGCGAGAACCTACACGTACACTCCGCATGCCCCAGCGACCACCGCACTGCTGCCCGCTTCCCCGCCGGTCTTCACAGGACCCTCAGCCCCGTCGCCGATCTCCGTCGCCCCGTCATCAGCCCCACCGTCGACCGCAGCCACACCGCCCCGTTCGACCCCGGGCCTGCCGCCGCCGCCGCCAGCGCCGCCGCCGCAGCCCGCCAGCGCCGCCGCCCCCGCTCCTCTGCACCCGCCGCTTTCTAAACAAGCCGTCAAGGAGTTGGGACGAGAGGGCACGAGGGTTCACGGCCGCACGCGCGGCGATGGAGTGCGGTTCATGGAAGAACAACAACAACCGCCGTCCGGTGGCGGCACCGCTCTCCACCACCGTCTTGGTCTGTGACGGGCAAGGACTCCCTCATCTCGTCGCTCGCCACTCGGGAGGCCGTGGACCAAGGGCGCCGCGACCTGCCGCCCCCGCCGCAGCCGGATCCGAGTCTTGGAGGCCGTGGAAGCGGGGGGGCTGTAGGAAATGGGGGGCCCATGGATTCTGGGGGGGGATGGAGACCGCATCTGTTCGCAACGATGTTCGCCACCCGCGAGGATGTGAACGCCGCTCTTCGCGCCGAGCGCCCGCCCGACAAGATGCCAGACCTTCCGCACAGCCTCGCAAGCGACGTCCGCGTGCCGAAAACGTTCAAAGAGGCCATGCGGTCTCAGCATTCAGAGTTGTGGAATGATGCAGTCGATCGAGAGTTTTTCGGCTTATTGGATGCAGAAACGTTTAGTCCGGTGTAGCAACCAGTAGATAACGCCATCAATGCTAAGTGGGTTTTTAACTGTAATCTCTGATGTAGTTGGCCACTCAAACAAGGCCGGACATCGCGAATGCAGTGCGAAAAGTAGCGCGGTATTGTGCATCTCCCAAGATGGTGCACTGGAAGGCAGCACTCGGTATTTTAGGGTACGTACGAAGGACGAGTTGGATGGGGATTACATGTGAGAGGGGAGTGGTGACCGGGATGAGCATGCAGGTGTTTGTGGATGCCGACTATGCAAGCAAGGCGGCAGGCCGTAGGTCGGTGTCAGGAGGGCTAGTTATGTGTGGGTGTGTGTGTGTGACTTGGTTTTCACGAACCCAGAAGTGCGTTACGCTTTCCACCACGGAAGCAGAGTATGTGGCAATTGCCGATGCCTTGAAGGAAGTGTTGTTCCTGAGGCAGGTGTTGTGGCGTTTTATGTTGCCAGATGCGGGTATGCCGTGTATCCCGGTGTTCGAGGATAACCAGGGAGCGATTCAGATTGCGAACAACCCGATCACGAACTCTAACTCGAAGCACATCGATGTACGGCATCACTTTATCAGGGAGCTGGTAGAGAGGAAGGAGATTTCAATTACTCATGTGCCGACGCAATTTCAGCATGCAGATTTCTTGACGAAGGCTATTCGCAAGGAGTCTTTTGCGTTGCACCGTGACTTTGTGATGAACTTGATGTGAAGGGGGTGTTTTGGGGTCGATTCGTGTTCTGTGGGAGAGAGAGAGAGAGAGAGAGAGACGAGATTGAACAAGCGAAAGAGATAGTCTGGTGAAAGTGATGAAGAATGTTGAAGTCGTGTTGGGATTTTTCTTGATTGTTTTGGAGGAGATTTAGTTGTGTTTGAGGTTTTTCTTGTGATTGTCTTGAAGGATTTTTCTTGTTTTGGAGATGATGGTAAAAGAGAGGGTAAGATTGGTTTTTGCCGAAGCATGACNGACCCTTACCTAGATCATTCAATGTAAGTATTGCATGGGTTCGGTGAGGCCTCCTGCACCGGCCTGTGGTCCCGCCCATTACTTTCCTGTTGATTGTGTTAAGGAGTGTTGCTGTATGGCACAGATAGGGTACACAGTCGGTCTAGATTAAGATGGGGGACGTCAGGAGGTATACCCTCTTAGGACGTACCCTATCGGGACTTAGCTATCTGCGTGCCCCCAGGTTTTGGCAATCCGCCTCACCTCAGACCTGTAGCAGACCCGCTTCTGCAATAAC